ACTTAGAACTATAAAGGATAGAAAGTTGTGGAGAGCCATGATCAACCTATCTAACGAGCTTGTGTAAATGATTTAGGAGGAACAGGGACTGGGAGGGATAGTAAGGACATAAACATGACTTAGAACTATAAAGGATAGAAAGTTGTGGAGAGCCATGATCAACCTAACTAACGAGCTTCTGTAAATGATTTAGGAGGAACAGCGACTGGGAGGAATAGTAAGGACATAAACATGACTTAGAACTATAAAGGAGAGAAAGTTGTGGAGAGCCACGATCAAATTACCTAACGAGCTTGTGTAAATGATTTAGGAGGAACAGGGACTGGGATGGATAGTAAGGACATAAATATTACTTAGAACTATAAAGGATAGAAAGTTGTGGAGAGCCATGATCAACCTATCTAACGAGCTTGTGTAAATGATTTAGGTGGAACAGGGACTGGGAGGGATAGTAAGGACATAAACATGACTTAGAACTATAAAGGATAGAAAGTTGTGGAGAGCCACGATCAACTTACCTAACGAGCTTGTGTAAATGATTTAGGAGGAACAGGGACTGGGAGGAATATAGTAAGGACATAAACATTACTTAGAACTATAAAGGATAGAAAGTTGTGGAGAGCCATGATCAACCTATCTAACGAGCTTGTGTAAATGATTTAGGTGGAACAGGGACTGGGAGGATATAGTAAGGACATAAACATTACTTAGAACTATAAAGGATAGAAAAGTTGTGGAGAGCCATGATCAACCTATCTAACGAGCTTGTGTAAATGATTTAGGAGGAACAGGGACTGGGAGGATAGGATAAAAGTTGGACATAAACATTACTTAGAACTATAAAGGATAGAAAGTTGTGGAGAGCCATGGTCAACCTATCTAACGAGCTTGTGTAAATGATTTAGGTTGAACAGGGACTGGGAGGGATAGTAAGGACATAAACATTACTTAGAACTATAAAGGATAGAAAGTTGTGGAGAGCCATGATCAACCTATCTAACGAGCTTGTGTAAATGATTTAGGAGAAACAGGGACTGGGAGGGATAGTAAGGACATAAACATTACTTAGAACTATAAAGGATAGAAAGTTGAACTATGATAGAGAGCCATGATCAACCTATCTCACGAGCTTGTGTAAATGATTTAGGAGGAACAGGGACTGGGTGGGATAGTAAGGACATAAACATTACTTAGAACTATAAAGGATGAGAAAGGGACTTGTGGAGAGCCATGATCAACCTATCTAACGAGCTTGTGTAAATGATTTAGGTGGAACAGGGACTGGGAGGGATAGTAAGGACATAAACATTACTTAGAACTATAAAGGATAGAAAGTTGTGGAGAGCCATGATCAACCTATCTAACGAGCTTGTGTAAATGATTTAGGAGGAACAGGGACTGGGATAGATAGTAAGGACATAAACATTACTTAGAACTATAAAACAGATAGAAAGTTGAACTGGAGAGCCATGATCAACCCATCTAACGAGCTTGTGTAAATGATTTAGGAGGAACAGGGACTCAGGAGATAGTAAGACATAAACATTACTTAGAACTATAAAGGATAGAAAGTTGAGAGCCATGATCAACCTATCTAACGAGCTTGTGTAAATGATTTAGGAGGAACAGGGACTGGGAGGAATAGTAAGGACATAAACATTACTTAGAACTATAAAGGATAGAAAGTTGTGGAGAGCCATGATCAACCTATCTAACGAGCTTGTGTAAATGATTTAGGAGGAACAGGGACTGGGAGGGATAGTAAGGACATAAACATTACTTAGAACTATAAAGGATAGAAAGTTGTGGAGAGCCATGATCAACCTATCTAACGAGCTTGTGTAAATGATTTAGGTGGAACAGGGACTGGGAGGGATAGTAAGGACATAAACATTACTTAGAACTATAAAGGATAGAAAGTTGTGGAGAGCCATGATCAACCTATCTAACGAGCTTGTGTAAATGATTTAGGTGGAACAGGGACTGGGAGGGATAGTAAGGACATAAACATTACTTAGAACTATAAAGGATAGAAAGTTGTGGAGAGCCATGATCAACCTATCTAACGAGCTTGTGTAAATGATTTAGGTGGAACAGGGACTGGGAGGAATAGTAAGGACATAAACATTACTTAGAACTATAAAGGATAGAAAGTTGTGGAGAGCCATGATCAACCTATCTAACGAGCTTGTGTAAATGATTTAGGTGAACAGGGACTGGGAGGATAAGGTAAGGACATAAACATTACTTAGAACTATAAAGGATAGAAAGTTGTGGAGAGCCATGATCAACCTATCTAACGAGCTTGTGTAAATGATTTAGGAGGAACAGGGACTGGGAGGAATAGTAAGGACATAAATATTACTTAGAACTATAAAGGATAGAAAGTTGTGGAGAGCCATGATCAACCTATCTAACGAGCTTGTGTAAATGATTTAGGAGGAACAGGGACTGGGTGGGATAGTAAGGACATAAATATTATTAGAACTATAAAGGATAGAAAGTTGTGGAGAGCCATGATCAACCTATCTAACGAGCTTGTGTAAATGATTTAGGTAGGAACAGGACTGGGAGGGATAGTAAGGACATAAACATTACTTAGAACTATAAAGGATAGAAAGTTGTGGAGAGCCAGCCACCTATCAACGAGCCCATTTAAACAGGGACTGGGAGGGATAGTAAGGACATAAACATTACTTAGAACTATAAAGGATAGAAAGTTGTGGAGAGCCATGATCAACCTATCTAACGAGCTTGTGTAAATGATTTAGGTGGAACAGGGACTGGGTGGGATAGTAAGGACATAAACATTACTTAGAACTATAAAGGATAGAAAGTTGTGGAGAGCCATGATCAACCTATCTAACGAGCTTCTGTAAATGATTTAGGTGGAACAGGGACTTGGAGAGATAGTAAGGACATAAACATTACTTAGAACTATAAAGGATAGAAAGTTGTGGAGAGCCATGATCAATCTACCTAACGATCTTGTGTAAATGAATTAGGAGGAACGGGGACTGGGAGGGATAGTAAGGACGTAAACATTACTTAAAATTATAAAGGATAGAAAGTTGTGGAGAGCCATGATCAACCTATCTAACGAGCTTGTGTAAATGGGTTGGAGAACAGGGACTGAAAGGAGATAAACATTAGTTGGATCTATAAAAAGGATTGGAAGTTGTGGAGAACCATGATCAACCTAACTAACGAGTTTGTGTAAATGGATAGGAGAACTGGGAATGGGGAGATTGTAAGAGGATAAACATTACTTAGAGCTACGAAGGATAGGAAATTGTGGAGAACCATGATCAATTAACCTAACCAGCTTGTGCTAATGGATAGAACTATGACTGGAAGTTATAGTAAGGAGATAAACATTACTTAGAGCTACGATTGATAGGAAGTTGTGGAGACCCATGATCGACCAATTTCTGAAGGGACATGAAAGAAGAACGTGATTATATTTTTATGTTTACTTGTCCGTTTTATATAGTTATTTATTCCGATATATTTTTCTTTCATCCTCTATACACAGGTATATGTATACGTGTTTGTATATATATATATATGTGTGTGTGTGTGTGTGTGTGTGCGTGCGTGTGTACATTTGTTTCTATCGTGGAGCTCTTACTGCATGAATGTGTTCGTGCGCCTGTGAAAGCGTATACAAAAGGATAATACTTCAATAAGACATATGCAAGTGAGAGAGGCAAAGGTTCGTTTCTGTCTCTCTTTTTCACTCAGATCCTCCATCATTTTCTGAAAAGCGGGCAAGCACTAAACTTGGTCATATCTGACCGATTCCCAATATATCAGATTCAACTAAATAGAAATACCGCAGGTTAAAGGCCGTAGTGCTAGAAAGGAATAAATAATTTCCGATTGAATCAGTTCTTGAGTCAAATATGAATTACATCTTGAGTCGATATAATATACTTATGTGAATATGCCGGAATGGATGAAGAGTGAATGGTTTTAGGGATAGCAAGACTGTTCATTTTTCTCGGCCAACATCATGCTCAGCCTCGTTCTCGGAACTAAAAAGCGTCAGTATTCGCCGAAATAAGTTTCGAGGTGGGAGTCTCACTGTGTATTTACCATGAAATTCATCATTCGAAATTGGCCAATGCCTATGCACAAATCACATCTATAATTAGGAGGGGGTGGAATTGCTACAAAGGCACGTCTTAATGATTGAAATAGCGAAAATGGATGAGATTAAATTCGAAACGTTGATCATTTCGAGTAAAGTCAAGAAAAAGGCAAAAAATAAATTTTCCCAGAATTTTCTCTTGTTCCAATTCTTAAAAATGGGGTCGACGCTGCCCTTGTGCAATGTAAACTACAATGCGATTTCAATGAAAGGAAAACTGGAGCTGGTCTTCTGGTTATGTGCCAAGCGTGATACACACTTAGGCGATCATGTATCGAAAGATACATGACTGACGAGGCAGAGTTTTTCCTGCAATAGGTTGCCATTTCTTTCTGCGGTAGACCAGTTGCCATCCAAGGCTATAGAGCCCTGTCTATTTTCCTACAGCTTGAGGGAGAAGAGGATTCATACCTTTCCTAAGGGTATTAGCACATAACTGAATGTAATGGATTCGACTTGAATTCGAACTCGGCTCTCCGATTCCTCAAACCGAGCCGCTATACTCCATCGCCATTACTCCACCGTGCCTCCACGGTCACTACTATCAGATTATCATAGAGGGAAAAGAAGATTGATTGATTTGTTCTTTACGGCTTGTCAACCTTTTTGCAGGTTATTTAAAGTTAGAAAATTGTAAGAATTTTTTTGGAGATAATAATGATTTAATGATGTTAGTCCTACTAATTAACCCATAGCTGGGGAGAGAAGTGGCGGATTTATATATGTCCCAAGGATATTTGCGCGTAAGTCAATATAATGAACCCAACAAGAATTGGAACTCGGCTCTCCGATTTTCAATTTCGAGTCGTTATCTATTACACCAACCACACTTCCAAGCTTACACACTCTGGTATTCCCAAGTGGTCACTCATTTAGGTACCGACAAGGCTCGACGTTGCTTAACGTCGGTGATCATACGAGAACCGATATTTCAACGTGGTTGTAAACCAGAAAAAGATAAAGAAAATGTGATCGATTTTTCTATGATTATCCTTGAACTTGAAACTTTTCTCAGATAAAATTATTGAACCTTGTTACTCTCTCTTCTTCTTCTTCTTTTTATCTCTCCCTTCCGCTTTCCCTCTTATTTTCTTTCTTTCTCTCTCTCACAGACACAGTCATTATCAGACTCCTTGACTTTCATTTATTCTCTTTCATACAAATTCTTTCTCTCTCAGTCTCTTATTTTTTTGTCTTATCCGTCACTCTTTTCGGTTTATTGAATCTCTCTCCTAACTTTTCTCTTTCTCTCTCTCCCAACCTTTTTCTTTCTCTCTTTCCCTTTCTCTCTCTCTCTCTCTCTCTCTCTCTCTCACTTTTCTTTCTTTCTATATCTCTTCTCTGTGTCACTCTCTATCTCTTAATCTCTCTTTTACTCTTTTAATAACTTTCTTGGGTATTTCGTCCCTCTCTCATTCCATCTCATTGTGTTTCTCATTACTTCTCTCTCTCTCTCTCCCTCTCCCTCTCTTAGTTTCCTTTTTACTTTTTACTTCTGCTACTTCAGCATTTCGTTCCTCTCTCTCTCTCTCTCCTCTCTCTCTCACTCTGTACTTCCCTTTTATCCCACGTTCTTTCTCTCACCTCTCTCTTTTTATCTCTCACCCTTTCTACCTCTCCCTCCCTCCTCCCTCCCTCCCTCTCTCTCTCTTCTTTCGTATTCATCTTCTTTAGGTGAAAGATTTGATTTAATAAATTTGACACAAAATGTGAAAATATCGGAAGTGTTCAATCGTATATGTTTTGCATATTCAAGAACCCTCGTTTAGTATGCTGATCTAATAAATGCTCTGGAATATACAGCCTTGTGTCAGAATTACAAGAAATATCTGTTTTGCGTAACTCATTTAACTCGAACTCATAACGAATGACCACAGGTTTTGCAAATGAATTTATTCATACAACACATAAATAATATTAACAAAAGCATGAACGCATTTTTCCCAAAAGTGTTAAAGTTTATCTGTTCATCCATTCCTCGCTCTCCAAGGCAACTCTCCACAATTCTACAGCTTTTTTACCTGTAATGTGCTCTACATAGAACCTTCTTGGGCGACCCTCCAGTTTTTGCCATGCTCTGGTTGGTGGGAGATAATCTTGATACAAGTCTATTGTTTACCCTTAATCAGGGCACTAAGGTTAGTAAAATTCGAGCGTAAACGTTTTTTGTTTTTATTTTTGGATGTTCGTTTTCAATCGATTTCACCCTATGCAAGGCAGTAAAGCCACCAAGACACAATGGGTTACTGGGTGTAGAAGAATTAGAAACAGAAGCATTAATAATGAGCAAGAAGAGAAAAGTGTAATCAGAGGGAAAGTCGATAGCGACTGACATTGCATTTAAACTTTTGCGGATTAAAGTTGGCTGGAAAACATGAAGCTGGAAAGGAATACCACAAACGAGAAGTGCGAGAAAAAACTGTTAACATAGAATTTACCGTTACATCCAGCTAGCTCAATTGAAAATTGATGAGATTCGACGACGCTCTAGTACTGTGCTTAAATTCATAAAGTCTAGGTACCATATTGAAGAGCGATATTTATTCTGTTTTCTACAGAAATGTGGCACAAGGCCGAAAAGGGGATTGAGGAAAGGAAGGTCTTCTTCTGTCTTAACTATAACTTAGCTTGCCGCAAACACTGACCCAATCGTACGAACAATATTCCTTACACCAAAACAACACATTCATACATACCTTTCTTACTACAACCACCATAATACCTCTTTGTCTCTATAAAAATACTAACTAGTCCCCATATTGCAAAACCCCATCTGAACAATTACCATGAAAGTATTTATAGAAAAGACATAGGGAGGTAACCTTACGGCGGTGGAAAAGTGACTGAAGCCGAGCCGCCAGATCAGGACCTATAATGTTGCTAATTCTTCATTGGATTTTGTCAAGGAACTCAAGGTAAATAGCAGGAACACTGAACCATATGCGCCAGATCAGGACCTATAATGTTGCTAATTCTTCATTGGATTTTGTCAAGGAACTCAAGGTAAATAGCAGGAACACTGAACCATATGCGGCAGCAATATCCTAAGCATGAACGAATGGTAGTCTTTTAATTATGTATGTTAGATTCACCTACTGCGAGAAAAAATCTGCCTCGTCAGTCATGTATCGAAAGATACATGATCGCCTAAGCGTGTATCACGCATGGAACAATAATAATAATGCTAGATTCTGGGGAGAAAGATTGTCTAGCACGACAATGTGAACCAAGTTTCTTAGCAGCTAACCTAACACTTGATTTAATGTAGTCTTTCAACTACAGCTGAGGGCATTAGCCCGAGAATGCGCAATGAGTCAGTTTCTTGGGGGTTAGCATTAGCCATGTTGATGGAAGGCAGAGAGGGTCTATCAGATGATTAACAGAGAGAAGTTTAGTTTTGGAAGCGTTAAAATTAATATTCCATCTTTTGCTCAAGTTAACAACAAAATGGAGGTCGTTTTGGACATCGGCTGCCATTTTGATCCTATCGAACTGATCAGATTCACTATCGAGACGGGATTAAATATAGATACCAAGTTATTCATTTACCCTTTGTAGGATGTCTTCATTTCTGCTGTAATCTTTAAGCATCCAGTATATGTCTGTAAAAGGTAGTTCCAAACAAGTTTAGCTTCTTCACAAATTTGTTAGTTACCGTCCAAAATTCTGCGTTGTAGAACAATATAAACAGAAATAGGAAATCAAATAGTTGGGGATTTTTCTTTTCTTTGTTTAAAGTCATATCAACTTCTTATAAATCATTTAATGCCGAAATTAAATCTTCTTGAGACATTTTAAAAAATAAAAATGTATGTTATTCTGCTTTCACAATTGAATACATGGTAGATGATACTCAGCTTTTGTGCATATACATGTTTGTGTGGACATAATTACTAGAGGCGATGATATATGTGTTTTATGTTGTAGTTTTATTGAAGTTATATTTTGGAATACAGTTTGATTTCCTTAAGTAATTGTAGGATATTATATGGATTAATGTCATGAAAGAGTTTTTCATGATCTTTGTTTGATTCTGTTTAGCGGCATATCAACCTCTATCACCAAAATCAAAATATTTTGAACACAATTTTATGGCTTCAACTACATTTATTTTGAATGCAATTGTATGCTTTCAACTACAAATAAATGTGGTCATTTTCCTATAAAATGTATTCTTAGTAATTCTACTATAAAATATATTGCTGGTCATTTTACTATAAAAATGTATTTTTATATTTTTATAGTTTTCTGTTTTTGTTTGGGGTTTCACTATTTGCCCATAGCTGAGTCCCTAACTGGTGCTACCACTCCGGGTCAGAGTGAAACTGGGAACAACAGCAATTAAGAGGTGGTTCCACGCTCCTCAAAAACTCCAATATCCTGATCAGAGGCCTTGCTACCGGATGTAGTTCATGGTCATACACAGGACTAAGTTGGATCTTTAACTTCAATTCAACGGCTGGTGGTTGCATAGTTGCCAGATCTTGTCAAAGCATATGGCTCCTCGCTGTTTAAAATTGTTGAAGGAAAAAATGATTCTGGTATGATCTAGGTGTTAATCCTTAAGACTTTATGTTTTGTTGTTTGTTCTTTTTTTCGTAATTGATTTCCAGTTCAACCGATGTCTTTCTGCCTCGCAGATGTGTTAGTCAAATTTTTCAACAGTTCTATCTAACAGAGTAATATCATCCATATAAGTGTACAAGCTTCGGTTGCACATTTACTAAAATTGAAACGATACAATGATTAGATATAAGATTATCGAATTTAATTTTCTTCCTGTCAAGTTAAATATGTTATTTTCAATTATTTCTCTTCATGAAAAACAATTAAGTTAAACTTTCACATCCTTACTAATTTCACGGGTTCTATATTCACAAAACTCAATTCACGTATGGCCTTAAGCCAAACTAAGTTAAACTTAGCAATAGCGATATTTTCAAAAGTTGCTGGCAAGGAATTTCTGTTCTTTATATACATGTCTCTAAGTATGAAGAGCATTTTAAATCAATATGTGTTTATGTGTACGTTTGTGGATAACGCAATATTTCCAGAGCACCATGAAGAAACTGATGCGGAAGAGATTTAAGTCGAGGTCGAGATAATAAATGGCCGAATACACTGAGATATTTGCCTCGGTGGTCAAATTTGGTATGAATGATTAACGCTTGGATAAATGATATTCCCAGAGAGAATCAGAGAAATTCTCATTAATGTACACCTCGAAGATGGATCTCGTTCGGTCGTTTTTTTTTTTTTTGTTTTTGTTGTTTTGTTTTGTTTTTTATTTTTTGTTTTTTGTTTTTTTTATATATATATTTTTTTTTTAACGATCTTCTCCGGAGCAACGAGTTCTGGCATATCAGACCGCACAACAATGGCGCGACACAGATGCAATTATGATGGCCGTTCTTATAAATATACAATTTAAAAAAAAAAAAAAACTCCAAAGAATTTGAGGAAAGTACTTGAGGAACAGGAGGTCTAATGTGACTATATCTGTGGAAAGTGAAAGAAAGAGGGAAAGAAAAAAGAATTAATTAATTAAAAAAGAAAGCAATTATTAAAAAAGGAGTGTAGGAATTAAAATAACGAAGAAACGAAAAAAGAATCAAGAGAGTGAAAGAACGAAAGAAAGCAAACGAACGAACGGCAGAAAGAAAGAATTAAAAGAAATAAAGAATTCAAAACATAGTTGTGTACGAATTAAACTATTGAACGAAAGAAAGAAAGAAACAAAGAAGACAAACGAACGGACGACAGAAAGAAAGAAAGAAAGAAAGAAAGAAAGAAAGAAAGAAAGAAAGAAATGACAAACGTAAAATCGAAAAGAGTGAAAAATGAAAGAAAAAGAGTGAATGAATGAATGAACGAACGAATTAAGTGAAAAGAGGAGAGAGAATAAACGAACGAAAAAGCTAACAACTAAAAGAAAGAAAGAAAGAGAGAGGGAGAGAGACGTTACGAAAAGAATGAATAAATGAAAGAAAGTATAAATTAACGAATGAAAGAAAGAAAGAAAGAAAGAAAGAAAGAAAGAAAGAAAAAAAGAAAGAAAGAAAGAAAGAAAGAAATGACAAACGTAAGATTGAAAAGAGTGAAAAATTAAAGAAAAAGAGTGATCGAATGAATGAACGAACGAGCAAAATTAAGAGAGGAAAAAAGAATAAACGAACGAAAATAGGAACAACAGAAAGAAAGAAAGAAAGAAAGAAAGAAAGAAAGAAAGAAATTTTGGAGAGAGAAACAGGTTGAAAAATGAATGAATGCAAGAAAGAATGAACTAACGACTGAAAAACAAAACAGGCAAAAAACTCAAAGAAAGAAAGGAAAGGAAATGAAAGGAAAAGAAAGGAAAGATAAGTATGGTAAAATAAAGAACTAATGAAAAGAGACAAACGATCAAGAAAGACAAATGAATAGGAAAAGAAATGCTGAATAAACTTAATCGGCTCTCCGGATTCGGTATCGGCTAAAATTGCAAATAAAACATTAAGAAAGAGACGCAACATATTTGAGAAAAAAAAATCGGATATTGTTAGCCTAATGTTTCCAGTTTTATTCAATTCATTGTTTGCATTTGCCTGCGGTTCTCTAAGTTTGGAATTAGTTTTCTCAGAATTGCCGGCAAACAGTGCACGTTTGCATATTGGTGAGTAATGGGCGCCAGTACTGGTTTGAAATCGAACTGGGAATAGAGGTTTTCAGAATTCATAGTAAGAACTGAACGTTTATCGGAATTTTATATTCTTTTTGTCACTCATTGATAAATTTGTACCGCTTGAGGGATCAGCAAAGCTTGTTATTGACTTCTGAGATGTTACTATTGTTTAATCTACTGTGCTTTTAGTCAACATTATTGGGTGTTTGTAAGAGGCCCTGACAAAATTAAAAAGTAAAATCGAAATAAAACCTTCAGAAATATTTTACAAGCAGAAACTTTGACTTGCGGTACCCCAAAATAACCGATAGTATTTTACCTATCCCGAGTCACAACTTTGGAAAGAAACGCAGAATCGGCGACGCACTCGATAATAAATTAATCACGAGAACGATTGCCTTACATATCTCAAAGGCCTTTGACAAGATGTGGCATAAGGGGGTGCTACATAAATTCTCCTACTATGGAATCCATGGATGGGTTTTCACAATTATCAATTCCTTCCTATCGGGTAGGACCAAGAAGGTTGTTCCCCAAATTTCTGAATACCAGGAGATCAATGCAGATGTGCCCGGGAAAACTCTCCTCGATTCTGACCTCTCTTTGATTTATATTAACGACCTGTCCAGGAACATTCTTAAGTCATTAGTAAATGCCTACGCAAATAATATCACTGTTTATAAACGCACCTTCAAAAACTCTAGATGATCAAAGCCTGGCAACTATCTAACTCTCACGGTTCAATGAGCGATAAAAGTGGCTTGTAATATCCAATGCCTCCAAAACAAAGCTATTAATGTTTCATCATCAGGGATCAAACCCTTAAATTTCTTGATTAGGATGATCTGTTGTACTTTCAATGAGGATTCTTGTCTTGGACGTCTACAGATTCAAATTCACTAGACTTCAAGTGGACTTCCTATAAGCGCCCCATTGCTAAAGATGCTGGGAAAATGGTCGGCCAAAAGTATCAGAATCCTCCAGCCATCCTATATCTTTACAAAAGGCAGTATTCTTGCCATATCCGGGATGGAGCAGCCCAATCTTCATTTTCCAACCTTGATAGAAAGAATTTACACGCCCTTGTAAACGATTAATTATTTTTCAACACTCAGCTCCTTTCCCAGAGATAAAACCTTGCAACTATCACAATTCTATCGCTATTTCCATGGCAAATTTTCAGATGAGCTACATTTTTTAGTTCCATCAGTTCAAGCCATTACAGTTACGACTCTCTACTCTATCGCTATTTCCATGGCAAATTTTCAGATGAGCTACATTACTTACTGCCATCAGTCCAAACATTTATAGCTGAGACCTACCAAGCTACGTACAAAGGTTCGAATCATCCCAATTCTCTTCTTATTCAATTGGCAAGGAGCGAGTTCCACTCACGCAGTTTCTTCCCACGAACCTCTATTTTGTGTAACAGACTCCCGAGAGAATGTTTCCCCAATTACTACAATCTTAACCAGTTCAAATCTCGGGACAAGCCTTATCTATTCTACATATCCTCATAATCTGCACGTACTCTCTCCTCTTACGTTCATACAACAACCTCATTCAGTAACCTTCTATATTGAATGGCTCTTGGGCCTTGTGCTGAGTGAACATTCAGTAAGAAAAGCTGTGGGCTATTTTCAAATTTATTCCCTTGAAACACATATTCATATGGCTGGTTTTTCGTTTTATCCTCTGTGAACAACAGGTTTCATTTTCAAATCTGCCTTGAACTCAAAGACAAAAAACTCACCTTAGATATCTTATTAATGGTCCGAGACAATTTTTATTGTTTAGCGAACCTTTTTAAGATTTTTCTCATTCCAGCTTTTTAAAAGACGATCAAAGTAAAGTTGGTCTTCACTTGACATTTCTCAAATGCGAATACAACTTATGCATTTGTATTTTTTCTACTTAAAAGCGTTTTGAAGATTCAGCGGCTTTTTTCTCTAAAAAAACACAAACATTCAGCTATATTTCCAGTTCTTTTTTATCATTCATCAGCAAAAAAAAAAACACCAGATAAAAACACAAAATAACAATTCCTCAATACAATGAAAGGCTGGTTCAGAATAGTGTTGATTTGACTAGCAGCGCAATGTCCAACTATGTCTAGTCGGTATACTACATTCGAATAATGAATGTTTTCTCTCACAGATATACGAAGTGCATTCAGAAGTTTTCGGACTTTTTCAGGAGATACATTTATTAATTTCAAAGAAGTACAAAATTCTAATATCCTCCAAAATAGAATCTTTTGACTTCAATGCACTTGTAGCGCTGAAGCCTCTTCGTGAATTCCCCATGGAAATCATCCAAAGTGAAGGTGTCCAGGACATTTGTCACATCATTTTCTCAATGTCTTCAAAACGACTTCCACCTGCGGTTCTTCTTCAGCTTGGGGAACAACAAAAAGTTGAAGGGATTAAGGGTCTGGATTGTAGGGTGGGTGAGGGACAGTTTTGACGCCCATCTCTGTCAAGTACTTGGTTACCAGGATGAAATTGTTGACTGGTGCATTGTTCTGGTTTAGCTGCGAACCGACCCGAATGGAAGATCTCTGGTCTTTTACGAAGAAATCTCTTAAAATGTCCACAATGTACTCTTTTTTGACAGTCTCACCAGAGGGAACCCAGCGGACGTAGATAATGCCCGTGACGTCAAAAAAGGGGATCATGATCATCACGGTGGACTTGCTTTGCCTGGCCTTCTTGGGTCTGGGAGAGTCGGGATGTTTTCACTGGGCACTCTGTCTTTTGGCCTCTGGATCATAACAGTAGATCCTACTTTCTTCACTGCTCACCAGAGATCCTAGTAATCTTGGATCGGGGGTAATTAATTCAACCATCTCCCTGCTGTCACCAATGTGTATTTCCTTTTGTTTGTTGCTAAGCACACTGGAAACAGATTTTGCATATATTTTGCGCATGTCCAAATTCTCATGAATAATTCTATGTAGAATTGCCACACCAACTCCAAACTGTATTCGTATTGCCTTTATAGACACCCAACTCTCTTCATACAGAAAATTGCGAATTTTCTCAGCCAGCTGTTATGACGTCCCTATCCCTAACACATCTCTCATCGTCTCTCGCCTCCTCTTTACCATCCTTGAAACTCTGGTGCCAGCGAACGACAAGAATTCGGCTCGTACAATCCATAATCAGCCTAGAGTATTTCACAAATTTCTGTAGTGTTTCTGCCTAGTTTAACACAAAATTCTATTGCATAGCCAGTTTCAAAATTGTCTTCACGTTCAGACTGCATTCTACAAAATAGTCAGCTGTGACAAGCAGTGTTTAGTACGATGTGTTCAAAGAGTTGTTAACAGCAATCTCCTTCAATCTGGAATAACAAATGTTTGCAGGTCAGCTTATTAGATGTAATGATATACTTACATTACAATTATCTAAGACCCCTTTACTGAAACAAGTCTCAAATCTTCTGGAATACACCTCGTACCTGTTTGTATATTAAGCAAAATAAGAAACAAAAAGTCACTCAAAATAAAACTACAATATTAAATAGCAATTATATGATAAAATTTCTTAAAACCTTTTGCAGTTGTTTGCACAGTTATTTTAATATTCATCGTCAACCACCTACTTTTCATGCCGGTGAAAAAGCATTTCTTGTGGAAACTTTGACGATTTATAATTCGTAATTTTGTAAATTACCTTGATGGTATTGTTAATAACATAAAATATAACAGCCATGTTTTGAATATACAGTTGCTTTTTCCCGCCACTCATAGAGATATGAACACCGATGGATCCGAACAAGAGATGTGCATTTCATAAATAAACTAAATGAACATTACCTGTCTTTGAGTTTTCCATAACTGAGTTGTCTAAGGTACACCAGGCTTTACGGTAGTTCCTCCTACAAGGTGACACAGTTTCAAACTTTATCCAAAGATGAACTGAAGGCAAGGATTATGGTAGCATTCACCAACTTAAACATGGAAAGCTTCCATAAGAGATGCAGGAGATTCTGAAGTCGTCTATTGCAGCCTGTATATTAATAGCCGATGACCTGTGTAAAATGTTAGTTACGATACGCTCGTGCGCGCGCCTAGTGAAACTCTAATAGACATCGAAATTAGTTTGACAACTGGGATCATCATAATCAAAAATATTGGTCCACTATGTAAACATTTGATCATAATACCCAATACAATTTTTGCTAATGCCTCGCCAGAATCTTTGGTAAAACCGACTCTTGGTATTGTAAACTGACTTTAACATAAGCTTCATTAACTAGGATGATACATTTTTTTCTTTTCATCTGATATTTTTCTAAACACATCACCAAGAAAATTCAGATCATCTACCTTCGAAACTTTTGATGTGATATCCACTAGTGTTTTTATGCTGGGTAATTTGCAATCATCTCGAATTATGTTATAAAGAGACCGAAATGTGCAAAATATTTGAATAACCGGACAATTTCCGACTCGTAAATTTTTTGCCAACTATTTGTGGTGACGTAACTTCGATATGTTGTCTCAAAACCTGTTTCTTTCGTTCAATTTTCAAATTACCAAGGTAAAGAATTTCTTTCTTAATTTGAAACAAATGTTGAAACTTACTCATTCTGTTTTTCAATTGGGAAGAAATGTGTGTGTATACCTGCATGGTAACATTCAAACATCAAGTTTTCAAAAATTTTGATCAAAGAAGTCGAAATACCACCAGTGAAAAAAATGAGAAGACAGGATGAACTGTTGATTGTTTGATTTGTAGAAGGTAACTGCTGGCGCAATATCATGATGGTCAATATCAACGCACATTAGTATTACCTTTAACTATTTTGCTCTCTCACCTTGATATTTTGGGAGACGAAACACCCGGACCATATAATTGCCTCGACACGTTTTTGGCCATTTTGAGATAATAATTCAACAGTAGCACTCAAAAAAGTGTTAACAAAATTACAGATTAAAGTTTCTCCTTAATTAAAAGAATGGTATTTCTTGTGGCAATTATTACAGATGATAGAGCAAATTCCTACTTCAATTGTCAGCTTATTATTTTGTTTTGTATCAAGTCTTTTATTGTTTTAGAAGTAGTTGTAACAAATATTATATTAAGCTTATAATTTTATATTAATTTATATAATTTTATGTTAAGCGAAATTAGTAATGAAAACAAATCATGGTATAAACTAATATAATATCACCGTCGAATACCAAAACTTTTGATCTACCTAAACCCCACAAAGCAGGCATTCCGATGCGTTCCATTATATCGGGTATTAGTAACGATATTCAGCCATATTGAATATCTCGATAATCGCTCGCACAGTCTGAATTGAATTTAGCATTTCATCAGAGGCATCTTTACATCGCCTACATGAATAGAAAATTCTGCTTTGGCAATATATTCATTTAGTAATGAAAAGCCATTGAATGAACATGAGTGGATTGTATGACCGTCATATTCATTGAGGATATACATTATATGTTGTTTGAAACTTGAACATTGAAGTAGAATTTCAAGGAAGAGTCAATGAACAAAAAGCCCAGAAAAAGGTTTCGCTCCCGACGATTTCAATTTAGCAGGAAATCCGTGAAAAGCAATTCACGTTCAACAAGTATAACACCGCAAAATATTAAACATGTGCCGACTCTAATTAAATGAAAGGAAAAAAACGAGAATTAGAAGAAAATCGCTGGATTCCATAAATAGCCAGAAAGTGTCTAAGCATATATATATATATATATATATATATATATATATATATATATATATATATATATATATATATATATATATATATATATATATATATATATATAGTGTTTATTTTTTTCATCCTTTACAGTTCCCCACCCACAATTTAGATTGTTTACGAGTTTTTGCTTTTCAAAACCTAAATCGCTCTGAAAAAATATTAAAACATTGTAAAAGTGTAACACATTGTCATTTATCTGCTAATCCATGTATTGCTCTTAATGTCGAAACGATGTTACGATCAATTCGTAAGGATTTTCTACTTTCTCACCAGGATTATTTTTATTGGATTACCATCTTTGCAAATGATGTCCTGTTTTTATTTTAAACAGTATGTATTACGTTTATCGGTTTTTGTGGGTTATGCAGGTCAATAGACGTAATACACACAGTTTAAAATAAAAACAGGACATCATTTGCAAAGATGGTTATCCAATAAAAATAGGTAGTAAAAAATTCCACTAATGTAGATAAATTAAGGAAAATGATTCATAGAGAACTAAAAAGTTTAAATCTTAAGGTTAAGATAAGTCTTAATGTTAAAAAGTTAGATTTTCTTGATGTTACGTTAGATCACATTAATGATATATTTCAACCTGATAGGAAAAATAATGGCAACCCAATTTATATTCACCCTAATTCTAACGCCCTCCATCTGTAATCCAACATATAACTTCATCTGTAGAACATAGGATTAGAAACTATGATTTAGAAAATATAATGATAGTGATCCAAAGAAAAGAAATAGAAATAGGAAGATTATTTGGTACACCCCGCCCACATTTAATCAATTAGTCAGTAATAAGTTAGGCCAGAAGTTTCTCCATTTCATTATTAAATTTTTTTAAAGGTAACCCTCTTAGTAAAATATTTATCAGGAACACATTAAAACTAAGTTATTGCTGCGCCAATAATCTTGAGAAGATTATAAAGTTACACAATAATAAAATTTTAAACCACTTTAATAATCTAAATCATAATACACGTTCCAAAATAAATATTATTAATGATATTGGCCAGTGTAATTGTAGGAATTCTGACCAATGCCACTGCTAAATAAATGTTTAATTAAATCTCTTATTTATCTTTGTAGTATGTCTACAATAGAGAATCCGACGATTGAAAAATTCTATATTGGCAGTACTAAGAATTCTTTTAAGACTAGGTGGCATCAACGTATCTTGTGCTTTACTAATAATATTTACAGAAATAATATATCACTTTCTAAATATTTTGGAGTTTAAAATATGATAATAAGACTCCTAAGGTGAAATGGAAATTTTTAAAAACGACAAGGACATGTAGATCTTTACTTGAACCCTGTTTTCTATATTTACATGAAAAAGTGGAAATCATCAGATTTTTTACAAAAATTCATTGTTAAATCAAAGAAGTGAATTTACATGAATCGTAAGTATAGTTAACCTTTTACCTTGCAATTTAGTTAGACTTTAGAATTTGATAATGCTTTTTCTTATATTTTAGTTGTACTGCGTTGCACTATATATGACTTATCTTTCTATTTGTAAGATTAATCTGGATTTGATATAATTTTGTATTAATTTCCTGGCAGTATTAGTAACATCTTGTATAGATGTATTGAGATTTGGTGGCTATTTTTAACATTTTACATTGATTGGTTAGTGTTCTTAACATCTGATAGGAAGGATCTTTATTTCACAGTTGCATATTAATTTACTAAATAATTCTATGTGTTTAAATTATTTACTAGTTTCTCAAAGAATCCATTTATTTATCAACTACAAAAACAATTATGTAGGAAATTTAAGCATAAAACTTGTTCAGCATTTTGTTAAATTACCTCTCCACCCCATTTTTATTTCTCAGGAAATTGCATTGTCTGGTTTGTATGTTTTATGTAACCATATGTATCCGCTTGAAGTTTATGTCTGGTTGCCGTTAGCTGCCAATCTAGGGGTCATTACCCATTTATAAAAAATAATTTTTAATTTTTGCTTCTT